TCACAGAGGCCATCCTATGATGCACAGCCATTTCCATCTTGTCAGCATGCTACAAGAAAGAGAAGACTCCCTGCTTCTAGGGGGAGGGGGACAAGGGAAAGTGAAAAAGAAGAAAGGAAAAGGTTATGGGATGGCTGGCCAGTAGGGCTGTCCAACCACGGAAAAAATTGTTTCTAAACTCGATTCGTTTTTAGGCGGTTTTTGCGTTTCGTTATTTAAAAGAATTCCAAAATTTTTCTTTAAAAAAAGTTCGATATTTATGAAATTTCGGAAATTACGAAACAATTTCGAAACAATAACGAATCGATTCGTTAATGGCGGACGCGATTGCGCAATACGCTAAAACCCCCTCCAAATGGGACAGGGGGAACTTCTGAAGCTTCCCTCTCCCTCTGTTGTTGACTGTTGGTGTGATAATTTATTTTTTTATCACTGATAAAACAAACAACAACTATAAAACTTGCACCAGACATACGGAAATAATAACGAAACAATTACGAAACAATTACGAAACAATTACGAAATAAATTTTAAAAATTCATTTCGATTTTAAGTTGCTCCTGAATGGTTCAATATCGCTTCATTATAAAAAAATAACGAATTAATAATGAATTACGAAATTAAAGAACGAAACCGCCCAGCCCTACTGGCCAGCCCTGAAGACAGATCTTTCTGTGGGAGAAAAGGATAAAATGTTTTCCCCACTCTTCCCAACACTTTCCCCCATCTCCCCCTGCTTCCTTCCTGCCTGTCTGATGAACTACTCTGAGGAATTGACTGGATACCACTCACAGAGCATCTGAGCACTTCCAGGATTATTGATATTGCAGAATTATTGATATTGCTTGAGAAGCCAAGCAATCTCAAGCAAAATGAGATATCAGGAGAGTTTCCTGTCCGTCTTTTTGTTCTTTAAAAAAACATTTTGAACACCAGTTTTAAATCTGCATTTAAATGCTTTAGAAGACATTGTCCCATCAGGAGCATTGAAAGAGGAGTCAGCTACTGGTGTAATTCATTTTTTAATAGTTGGATTAAAAAAGGAATCACTTTTTTCTTTGCTTAGCAGATATTTACCACAACTTCACATGTCATGCATCAACCTTTGTTTTTTCTCCTTCTGAAAAACAGTGATGCTAAAAAGTAGTCCTTCTTTACAAAGGAACTCATAATTTTTCACATACATTGATGGAAGAAAGTGCTAATGAGAGTTGTAACCTTGCCAGTATAATGAAGGAAAAAAGAACAGAGAGAGCACTCCATTTGATGAAAACATTATTGAACTCTGTATAGTGATTTCTACATATAATGTGGCATTCCTGGGCAAGGGAGAGGTAGGTAATGTACTTTTGTCTTATTAAATCAGGGAAAGCTAAACCACATTATTCATTATTACCCTAATTTTGTTTGTTGGAATGTTTCAAGTTGCAGTAATATGACTAGAAAGTACGTTCCACTGAACTCAGTAGGACTTTGATTTGAGTAAACATGGATATGATGGCACTAGTGTGCAGAGTTGCAGGGTAAAGGCAACCTTTCCACTTCACAGAGGTATGTAGGTCCAGCACAGACACAAACAAATGCACAGCAGCTCTCACAAACACAGCTAGAACAGTACTTGCGGCATAATTTGGGATTAGCAAATTATAAGAAACTTAGCTAAATGTAATATTATTTTCTCTCATAACTGGTGCACAACCGTGTTATGTTTCAAAAGCATCACAATGGATGGAAATGGCATTGATTTATTTACCCTATTTATACCCCACCTTTCTCAACCCCGAAGGGGACTCAACGCGGCTTGCATATAGGCAATTATTCAATGCCTTAAGCCAACATACAATTCAAATGAACATTTTAATAAAAAATAAAATTAAAATTAATACATATTAAACATTTAAAAACATTATTTGATAGGTCTAATGAATAATGGTGCCTTACTCATTTACAAAATTGCTTGATTTATATTATCTTCTGCTTCTCCCACCCCAAAATGGATTAAGGACATAAAGCAGCCATATTCTAGGAACTTCTATAGCCAAAGTTAGAGGCCTATGGGTGTGGGAGTGGGGGTAGTGGGTAGGAAGTGTACAAGTGTCTAGAGTTAATGGACCAAATTGTCTTCAGAGTTATGAGATTAGAAGGCAAGTATAAAAATACTATGTGTTACAATCTGAAGCATGCTTAATGAGGAATAATCCCTACTGATCTCATTCACAGAACTGGAATGTCAGAAAATGAAAAAGTAGGATAAAAAGAAAACTGAAGAAGAAATACACAAGACTTTTGATATGGTAAAATACAGAAAAGTTTTAATGAAAACCTGAGGGAGGAGAAATGCAGTGAAGTGGTGTCACAGCAGCAGCTGCTGCCATCACTATCGCTTTTGTAGCTGGAGTTAGTCAGGGGCCTGTTCTCCCAGACCACATAGAAATGAGTATGACAGAGAATCAAGATCTAAGTTAGATAGTCTTCAAGCATCCTCTGAAATAGCAGTATTTGTAGCTGATATTAACTTGAGGCTCTGCCATCCCAGGGCAGGTAAATATGGGTCAATGAGAAAACCGTGTTCTAAATGTCTTCATTGTGACCCTAAGCAGACAATAGAAGTTTTCTCTACCTTTCTCTTAGGATTGCCATATATTAACTCCTTAAAACTAGAGCATGGGAAACATGATTTTTTTGTGGTTCACTTTTTCCCAAATTCCCAAATGACCATCACAAGCACCGGTATTGAATCAAACACCAATGCTTCCTTTTCTTGAGTACAGCACTCATTGAATAGCAATTCCTACTCTTGAGGAGCTATCTTATTTCCGAAGACCCTAGTGTCTGCTGCTGAATCAGCTTTTAATGGTTCCAGCACAGTTTACCTGTCCGAACTTATCTCCCTCTACGAACCGCCAAGGATGTTAAGATCATCCAGGGAGGCCCTGCTTTTGGTCCCACCACTTTCGCAGGTGCAACTGGTAGGGACGAGAGAGAGAGGGCCTTCTCCGTGGTGGCTCCTTGGCTGTGGAACTCTCTCCCCAACAAAATCAGGTCTGTCCCCTCCCTTCTGGCCTTTCAAAAAAACATAAAACCTGGCAGTGGGATCAAACATTTGAGCAGTAGATGTAGCAATTAGGAAAAGAATAAATAAATAAGCAAGCAAACTGGGTGAATTCCTCTGTTTTAAAAACAAAATTGAAGACACACATATGAATAAATAAACAGGAAAAAAATCAAAATGGCAAAAAAAACCAAAACATATTTTATACTACATCTCCCTTGTCTGCATTGATCCCACATGGACATAATTAATGCCACACATGTCACATACATAACACCAAATTAGGAGGGATAGCTAATATCCCAGAGGACAGGATCAGAATTCAAAACAACCTTAACAGATTAGAGAGTCGAGCCAAAACTAACTAAAATGAATTCCAACAAGGAGAAATGCAAGATACTACATTTAGGCAGAATAAATGAAATGCAAAGATACAAAATGGGTGATGCCTGATTCGACAAAGATCTTGGAGTCTTGGCCAACAAGTTTAACATGAACAAACAATGTGATGCTGCAGCTAAAAAAGCCAATGGGATTTGGGGCTGCATCAAAAGGATTATAGTGTCTTGATCGAGGGAAGTTATGGTGTCTTTGTATTCTGCTTTGGTTAGACCACACCTGGAATACTGTGTCAAATTCTGGGCACCATAGTTCAACAGAGATATTGGCAAGCTGGAAGGTGTCCAAAGGAGGGTTACCAAAATAATCAAAGGTATGGAGAACATAGCCTATGAGGAGCACATTAAAGAACTGGGTATGCTTAGTCTGCAGAAGAGAAGGTTGAAAGGAGACATAATAGCCATGCATAAATATGTGAAAAGGTGTCATAAGGAAGAGAGAGCAAGTTTGTTTTCTGCTGTCCTGGAAACTATGACCTGGAAAAATGGGTACAAATTGCAGGAAAGGAAATTCTGCCTGAACATTAGGAAAAACTTCTTGTGTGTAAGAGTTCTCAGAAGTGGAACTCTCTGCCTTGGAGTGTGGTGGAGGCACCTTCTTTGGAGGCTTTATACCAGAGGATGGATGGCCATCTGTTGGGGGTGTTTTGTGCTTTTCCTTCATGGCAGAGAGTTGGATTAGATAGCTCATGTGGTCTCTCCCAACTCAATGATTCTATTCTACATCAGTGAATTCCCCATAACTGGCCACAAATTTTCCCATGATAAATTTACCATTGTTTAAAAGGGCAGTCAACATTCTCTGATCCTTTGCATTTTGGTTACATAGCTATGGCCACTGCATTTTCCCCATCATGCATGTGAATGCACATACTTCCTGTTAAGCAAGGCTGTGCTAATACTGATATATCAATACACAAGCATCACCATACATGCTTTCTTAAACAAACAAAGAGACAACGTATGCAAACTTATTTAAATATGTTTGCACTAGAAAAGAACCAATTTGTAGTGGTAATTATCAGGGCACCAACTGACTGAACCTGTTCACTAACTCCTCTCCATAAATCCACAGTTATGTGATACTGCATTGGAGAGCTGGCTACAAGCCAAAAAATCTGGATTCCCTCCAAAAGTGTGGGGTAAAAGGCACATTTCTGAACTGAATTGCAGCTAAAAGAATTGCATTCTAAACAAATTGTAAGAAATGTTATGTATTTGGATGGCAGTGGCTACAAACTAAGTACATTTTTTTTAGTTTGTGTAGATAAGCCCCTGATTTTATATTATTGGAAATAGAGCAGATACCCTCTCATTCCTTTTTGCAATTTTATATACTTATTTTCTGCTTTCATATTTTAAAACTTATCGTCATAGGAAATGGAGACTGCAAAAAGGAAATAAGAGTCATTTTGATTTGTCTCCTCTGACTTCTTTTTGATGATATAGAAGTATTATTGGGAACAGTTTGTACTGAATAGCTGTAGTATATCGACAATCAGGGATTTATTTCCATCAACCATACGGTTAACGAAATAAAATTCACTTACCACAAGATGCCATTTCATCAGATTCATCACCACAATCATCCTCCTGATCACACATCCATGAAGTTGGAATGCAACGCCCATTTCCACAAGAAAATTGGTCAGCTTGACATGTTCTTGCTTAAAGGGGGAATTGCATACAAATAATGAAGAACAGAGTTCAAATGAAAGCTAGTTGAATTAAACGGGTTTATTATATCTATATATCGTGGACTGTATTTTATTCTTCAGAAAGCATGTACCGGGAAGTCATGCAGGTGTAGTGACAGCATTTATTATATGAGAGTATGTGCCACAAGTGCACCTTAGTTCACACTGTCTAACACTGAGGCAATTCAAGTTCAAATAATTAGCCTTGAGGTTCAGCTTTGGTCACTCACTTTCTCATAACCTCACAGAACTGTCATGAAGGTAAAATGAGAAGAAATTCTCCCCTGAGTTGTAGGGAGACATGATGAACGACACTAAAAATAATAATAATATCTTAATTCCCAGAGTTTCTCATCACTACATGGATGAGTATTCATATGAAGTATTGCCTATGTAAACTGATATGATTTAAAAATCATGATATTTTAATGACAAAGATTACATGGGAATAATGTGATCTGTAGTTTTTAAATAAAATTTCCCATAACATAAAAGAAGTCACAAAACTACACTCTCCGATACCTGTGGCTAAAAGATATGCATTTGTATACATATGCTTGAACTATAGTCACGTATATGTGAGGAAACTGTGTGGGGAAAAATTGCAGATCTTGGCTCTCAATATGTCCTACTGAATTTCAAGTTCTAAGAAAAATGTAATTGGGAAAGGATTCTCCTCTTTAAACAAGTCATAACACAGACATGATTCTATGTTTCTATGATTCTGTGTCAATCAAGTCAAGCTGTATGAGTGCCACATTATTTGGGAATACAGAGACAGACAAGAACAATTATGCTGTCTCTGTCATAAAACCACTGGCAATACAACATGGATTCAGAACTCCAGTAATGAGATCATAAATAGCAGGAATGATGGTTCAATATTGTTTACAACTAAGACCCGGATATTTAATCACCATAAATTTAAAACAAAACTTTTTTGTTTGTTTTACCAGCACAAGTTTCATTTGATTCATCTTCATTACTGCCACAGTCATTTGCTCCATCACAAAGCCACCTCTTGGGGATGCAATGGTTATTATGACATTTAAATTGATTGTCAGGACAGCTGTGGTTAACTGGAAGAAGAAAAAAATGTATGTTATTCTAAAGATGAAATAATGGAAAAAAATCACATAATATGTAGAAATTGTTACAACTCTTTACAGATTTACACAGAAGTAAGCCCCACTGATATCAATTCAGATTTAATCCCAAATATGAGGTTAAAAGATTACAGCCACAATAATTTTAATCTTTATTTTGAATGTACACACACCAAAAACAAAAACCCAAACTAATATGTACATGATAAGAAGCAATTGTAGTTCATGAAAACGCACACCAGAATCTGAATACAAATCTTGTGAAATAAGGAATGAGGAGGGAATTCATTTGGTTCACAGTAAATTTAAACTGATCTAATTTTGCACTTCTTAGGGCCCATTTACATGGGCCACATACCCTGGAGCTAATCGGAATGGGGTACTCTGGATCAGCACTGAGGAAGTCCACACAACCAGTCATTTAATTGTATCTAGTTAGTCTGGCTGAAGTGCTAAAGCAACATGCAAGAGGAGTGGGGAGGGGTGAGGAATAGGAATTACCTCCTTTCCCCTCTCTTCTCTAATCACCAGAGCTACTACAGGTGACAAGTGATCATCACCAGCAATTTCATGCCTGATGATTGCTGCTAAGCAGAGGATAAAAGCTGGTGAGTGGGTGGCAAATCCCACCCCCGTTCCCAGGTCGTCCAACCTTGGGGAATGCAGGATGGCCACGTGAAGAGGAATAGCTAGTTCTTACCCAGTACTGGCCCAATGATTTACACTGCCACAAAATGTGGATGATCCTTGAACTTTGAGGAAGCTTTGAAGCCTCCATTGACTTTGTTTAATGCAGGACAAGGATGCACTGAGTGGCTTTGTTGGCCATTTGGGCACGTGGATGCCACAAAGTCTACTATTTCCCAACCTGACTCATTTGGTCCATATACATAAGACCCTGTACTAAAATTACAATTGAAACACAGCTCAGATTGTCCACTGCATGAATGCCAAATTTCCTTTGTGCTCCCCAATTCAAAGTATCAACCAGTTCAGCATTTGCACTCCATTCAGTATCAAAATAAGTTTGCTACAGTTACTAGTTACACTACTTTGGAATCTGTTGAACTGTAATGTGTCTATATAGTGTAGGCAACATGGAAAAAGACTAGTCAAGACAGAAAGAAATCAAGGTTAGAACTGCTCCAGAATTTCATTAATCTAAAACAGGGCAATAAAAGATAGTTCCACAACAAATCCATACACTTGCTTGGATTAAAAGGAGCACATGGGAATTATGTCATTGAATTTCGACAATGCCTATCAGCTAATAAGAATGTGGGATAGTTTGTGCTTTTTCTGAAGTAATAAGCTTCCATACAGCTCGGAAAACTCACAGCAACCCAGTGATTATGGCCATAAAAGCCTTCGACAACAAATAGCCAGTTTGTGTAAATTTCAGATTTAATTACATAACTGTTGCTGTTCCAGAGGAGAAAACTTGCAAGAATCAATTGTAAATCTAAAATACTATCACTGACTTTTTGCCTTTTTTTAAACACAAATTTAATTATTTGGGTGAGCAATATTTGAAATGTTGAATAATTACAAATTGTTTACCTCCCATTGGAAAAAAAGTAAGTTACTATTAATTTTACTGCCATTATTCAAAAATGCTAAAGAATTCCATGTAGTTTGTGACACAATTTTGGTATCTGGTAAAAAAAAAAAAGCTTTAAAATTAATGTGCATGAAATGTTTCTTATGATGACCATTCTATATATTATTCCATATTTAATACAGATTTTATAATGTCATAACATATCTTCACAGAAAATCATTATCTCTGCATCGATATAAAGTTAATCTTGTTGGGATAATGCCTATTAGCCAATAAAACATTTTACAAAGGATCATACATTGCAGATCAGTAGCAGTAAAGACATTCAAAACACTTGAAACCAGCTGATAAGGACCAAACATGTCAAAGAAAAAGGATTCTGTTTCCAATAGATACAGCAGGGAGCATTTTTAATGCTAACTTGTTGTGTTCCTTATGGTTGATACTAACAGAGAAATCTGAAGTGGTATGGGATATTGAGTGGCAGACAATTTGTCATGTCTGAAGCCTTTCCAGCTCACATGTTAAGAGATATGTGATCGTGGGGAGAAGGTATTATCTGATAAAAGAGCAACAACCACAGCAGCCACATTTGGACAATGTTTTCAGGGGAGGCAAGATAATTATACCAACTTTGGTTTGACTTGACAGATGTCATCCTGGTGCCTTTCAGGGAAAATATGGGGATTTGGGTTCAACAGACCCAAAGCTGTCTGTGCCATCAGGCTATGGAGCCTAAACTCTGCCCTCCACGGCAGGTATATAATTCTGTCTCCCTAAACATCTTTCAGACAGCCATTGTTTGACTGTGGTGTCTTAAATTATTTGACTTAATGTTAATTCTTTTCTCTATTTATTTTACAAGCTTGATACTCAACACCATTTCTATATTTACACCAGCCATGTTATAGCTAAGAAAAGCAATCCTGAGCAATAATAAATGTCAATGACTTCAATTCTGTTATAGGTTTCAGCTTCATCCATTGAAAAAATTAAGTCAGTATCTATGCAGGTTTGATTGATTTAATTTTAGAGACTCTTTTTAGTTGGGAATAGCACCTTCATTTAGACCTTTTTTATATTATCAGATGCTTTTTAAGTACAAGGTCCCCATACTGCATCCAGATGTTTATGCTTCTGATATTGTGCTTTTTCATAAATTTTGATTCAATAATAATAACAATCATGATAATTTAAATTTTTGGAGGTGTATGCTGTTGGAGAATCTGGCCAGATGGATAAGGAGCTGGATTATCAAACTGTCATAAGAAGTTCCGGGATAGAAGACTGATTGGGATGACTCTGTACTCTCAGAAATGAAAGAGGATAGACTGTGCTGGAATTTAGAAGGAGGAACGTGCTGAGCTCAAGCATTTTAATATCAGAGAGAAGAGAATTGTTTCACAGGACTTGCTGAGATTAAAGATTTTGATGTCAGATATGAGATGGTGATCTCAGAAGTCAGAGGAATTGTAAACGGGTAGAAGTCAGACAAAGGGGAAATTTTGTCCAGGAGCTAAAGAAGATGTGGGAGTGGAGAGAGTATCCAAGATCAAGATGAAGTTTATCTGTGGGATCAGGTACTCATCTGAAGTGTATTTGGTAGGGCTGGGCGGTTTCGTTCGTTAATTTTGTAATTCGTTAAATATTCGTTATTTTTAAAATTACAAAATGATTACAAAACTTATTTTCAAACCTGGAAGTGTTTTTAAATATCGAAACGGCATCCTCCATCTTTTTTACGAGCTTCCGCCCATTTCGGAAATGACGTTTTAGGGATGGAGGATGCTGGGTGCGACGGGAGCCAATCCTGCGCTCCCAAGCACCGTGGCTGATTGTGATTGGGCGGGCTGCCCTTTAAAAGCGGCTCCGCGTGGCCGCATTGCTCATTGCTGGGGAAGGCGAGGAGACAGGAGGTTCGGGAGGGAGGCTTGGCTTGCTTGCATTCATTCATTGCTTGCATTCATTCCCTGGGCTGGGAGCAGCGGGGAGGCTTTGTCCTGTTTTCGCCCTACATTTTTAAATATTTCTGAAAAATATTTCTTTTATTCTTCAAAAAATTCAATTTTTTTTGTTAATTTTCCATTTTTAAATATTTCTGAAAAATATATTTCTTTTATTCTTCAAAAAATTCAAAAAATATTCTAAAAAAAGAAAAGAAACTTGTGTGCCTGTGTGTGCGTTTGTCCCTGTCCTGTGGCTGTGTTCGCTCCACAACAGGGCAAGCATTTTGTTAATTTTCCATTTTTAAATATTTCTGAAAAATATATTTCTTTTATTCTTCAAAAAAATCAAAAAATATTCTAAAAAAAGAAAAGAAACTTGTGTGCCTGTGTGTGCGTTTGTCCCTGTCCTGTGGATGTGTTCGCTCCACAACAGGGCAAGCATATTGTTAATTTTCCATTTTTAAATATTTCTGAAAATATATTTCTTTTATTCTTCAAAAAATTCAAAAAATATTCTAAAAAAGAAAAGAAACTTGTGTGCCTGTGTGTGCGTTTGTCCCTGTCCTGTGGCTGTGTTCGCTCCACAACAGGGCAAGCGTTTTGTTAATTTTCCATTTTTAAATATTTCTGAAAAATATATTTCTTTTATTCTTCAAAAAGTTCAAAAAATATTCTAAAAAAAGAAAAGAAACTTGTGTGCCTGTGTGTGCGTTTGTCCCTGTCCTGTGGCTGTGTTCGCTCCACAACAGGGCAAGCGTTTGTTAATTTTCCATTTTTAAATATTTCTGAAAAATATATTTCTTTTATTCTTCAAAAAATTCAAAAAATATTCTAAAAAAAGAAAAGAAACTTGTGTGCCTGTGTGTGCTTTGTCCCTGTCCTGTGGCTGTGTTCGCTCCACAACAGGGCAAGCATTTTGTTAATTTTCCATTTTTAAATATTTCTGAAAAATATATTTCTTTTATTCTTCAAAAAATTCAAAAAATATTCTAAAAAAAGAAAAGAAACTTGTGTGCCTGTGTGTGTGTGCGTTTGTCCCTGTCCTGTGGCTGTGTTCGCTCCACAACAGGGCAAGCGTTTGTTAATTTTCCATTTTTAAATATTTCTGAAAAATATATTTCTTTTATTCTTCAAAAAATTCAAAAAATATTCTAAAAAAAGAAAAGAAACTTGTGTGCCTGTGTGTGCGTTTGTCCCTGTCCTGTGGCTGTGTTCGCTCCACAACAGGGCAAGCGTTTTGTTAATTTTCCATTTTTAAATATTTCTGAAAAATATATTTCTTTTATTCTTCAAAAAATTCAAAAAATATTCTAAAAAAAGAAAAGAAACTTGTGTGCCTGTGTGTGTGTGTTTGTCCCTGTCCTGTGGCTGTGTTCGCTCCACAACAGGGCAAGCATTTTGTTAATTTTCCATTTTTAAATATTTCTGAAAAATATATTTCTTTTATTCTTCAAAAAATTCAAAAA